ATTATGAAAATGTCTACTAATTGTCTCCCTTGAATACTGGAATCTTTCTTGCTGCATCTTACTACTAAGCGCATGGCCAACGGTATTTAAAAATATTGCAACCATTTCATGTATCCCAACATTTCTGGTTTCCCTTATACTGTGTTGTTGCAATTCTGTGCAAAGATTGAAGAACACTTCCTTTCCATCCTAAACATATTATAACAAAGGGTGGAATGGCCTTGTAAAACATCCCTTACCCATGCCCTGCCTGTATAAATACTTGTATGCTAGGGCTTTTTACACAAATGAGAGTATCCATCAACCACTACTGCAACTTGATTAACCCATTTGTTCTGTCGTTTATAATACTTTTCTGCAATTTTAATTTCATCAGCTATTTTTTGTCTTGTCCAGTGCACATAGACATAAAATTCAGAAACCCTGATATGAAATTATTAAACATTTAACAAGAAAATAAGTTGTTTAATTCCTACAGAAGTTTAGTAGTCACATAATACAATAGTGCCAGTTGCATCATTCCCAAAAATATATGCAAATTATCATAGTCATCTTCTAAGCAACACAAAAGGTAGTCAAATACTATGATAAGCAACACAAATGAAGTCTCAATCCTTAGTTGCATGCTTCAAGAAGATCAGGAGTTTTTCCCTCTTATTCTTCAAAGCCACATACATCTCCTTTGCAGCTGGCTTGTCTATAAGGAGTGTTTTGCACTGGCCAAACAAGTCGGGATCATCAACAACTTCATCAACTTCATTAAGGTGCTCCATGACTCCCACAATTGATGTCTCATAAACACGTGCTTTTTCTTCTAGCTTCCTAGCACGTGCTTCTAAAATCTCTTCAGGTTCATACTGAGAATCAATTTCATTTGCTTGAGTTATCCTGCTTAGTGCATCCGCTATTTTCATGGTGGTAATGGGTTTCTTCTTCATGGATTCACCCTTTTTTCTAACCCCTAATAAGCTATTAGGTCGACTGCCACCTGTGTTTCTACCCCCACGAATGGTTTCCTGTCTCATCCCAGTGTTGCCTCCACTTCCTCCCCTATATATCATTGAATGTGACCAAATTAAACTCCCCACTTATGCCAGTTGGTGCCTCCAAAATTTCATCACTATCCGCAGACCCTCTTTCCATATCATCTTCAGGAACTCCTTCGCTTGGAAGTGTCATAGAAGAAGGTGCCCATGACTGTGGTTTAGTTGCAGCTGTAGACCCAAAGAGTTGAGTCAATTCAGCCCAAAATTGAAGCCCTCTTTCTATAAATTTCTCATGGCCTAGAACTTCTTGTGCATTCAACACCAAAAATATTATACATTATACAAAAAACATTAAAGTGGGAGAAAATGCAAGTTCAAATAAAGTTAAATGATTACCACTATTTTCTTCTCCCACCAATCATCAAGGGCACTAACAGTATTCCTTTCAGCATCCCACCCCAAACCTGTCTCATAGAGCAACCTATCCGATAACTGCCACTCCTTTCGCAGGGCATCAAATTTGTTCTTCAATTGGATTCTCATATAGACTGTCCCAGTCTTCGCAGTGAAGCTGTCCCCAAGACTTGTCCAAGTAGGCTTTGTCAAACTAGTTCCTTTTCTTCCTCCTTTTTCAATTTCTTCAATGCACAGGTCAATAAAGACCTTTGTGGTTCTTATATCCCATGAAGCTTTTCCATTTTGTCTACTCATTATGCCATAGACCAATTACAACTCTTCAGTCATCACAAGATACTTCTTGTATTTTACGAAAGATGTTTTATTCTCAATTAGAAACTCAAAACACTACACGTAAAACATATATCTCTCCAAGGATACCCAAATTCACAATGATAATATTTCGGGACAGAAATCAATCTAATTGACTGCTTGATCCATAAAAGATCCATTATCATTACTCCAAAAGAAGATAGGAAACCTTCACTATTTAGACCACAGATAGAGTACATTCAACAAAGTAACCCCAAATATAGTCCCTTATCACTTCATGCCTAAGCAAGAGAAGGTCTAGCCCATTCTCAATACAAGAACATATTATATCTTATTCCAGAACCCAAATAAACACCCTAACCTACACAGTGTGTCATAGCGCCTCTTGATCTTAGACAAAACAAACAGAAACGTAAATATATTAATCCAATAATTAAGTTCTGAGAGAAGATGACATGGTCTATTTGAAAAAATAAAAATATATCTAATCAAATAAAGGAGGAAAGGCCACGATCAAATAAACCACCTTCTCAGTTCTAGCATAATCGTGGAAATCCATATCATTTCAGAACCAGGGATGATAAGATCACAAAATTTCTTGCGGTGGCCTAACTCTCTGAGTTATTCAAATGATATACTATAATAGTCAATGCCACAACCAGAATTTGAAAACAAAACACATCTCCAGCCACAACCAAGATTTTTCCTACATTCGTATACACACACAAATGCTCTGTCTCTCATTCTCAATTGATGAACAGATTACCATGAAATAAAAGCAACTAACAAAATCAATCGGTGTCAACTAAGCAAGCAACATATAAAGGTGGGAGGAAGGGAAAAAAAGAGAAGCCAGTAGAAGCAAACATAGCATGGTCACCCGGTGAAACCAACCTCTGTTTGGGGGGAAAAAAGCCGATGGTGGGAGGAATTTTGAAATGGAGGGATGGAATCGAAAATGGAGACCTGAGACGAGATGAAGGGAGAACATGCATTGGTGGAGACAATAATGACTGAAGAGGGACTTACTTGAGTTCTGGATCTGAGCAATGGAACCAAACACGGAGACTTGAGATGAGCTGAACAGCGAAGATATCAGAAATGGAGGGATGGATCGAGTAGAAATGGAGCAAAGATCTTCTCCTAGCAAGCTGAGAAACACCTTACTGGCACTGAAATTCCTGAGCAACGGCACAAGACGAATGTGGTGACAGCATAGGACGAATGGGGTGACGGCATAGGACGGTAAAAGATCTCGGTGGCAAGAAATTTTCACAATTTCTTCATAGGGGCCGACAGTCAGGATGACAATGGGAGAAAAGGCGAGTAATTCTTGCTTTATCATGACTGGGAGCCACTGACAGTAAGAAATTTTCACAATTTCTTCACAGGGGGTGATGGCCAAGACGACAGTGGGAGAAGAGGCAAGTAATTCTTGCTTTTTCACGATTGGGAGCCACTAATAGGCGTAATTATTACTCCAACGGCCATCTTTCCTTCCTCAAAAGCCACACCCGGTATGCTTATTTCAAAACTATGGTTTTCTTGGACAAAACCAAGGTTTTGCCTAAAACCTTGGTTTTTAAAAAAAAGTGGGTGGTTGGCCATTTGGATCCCTAAACTATGGTTTGGGGTCCAAAAGCGCTTTTGGAGAAATTGCCAAACACTCCCTTATCAGTCATATTAAAATAATATAATTCAATTAAAAATAACAAAATACATTGACATTAATAACAAAATACAAGAAAATATAATAATAGTTTGATTGTAACAATAACAAAATACAACAATATTGAGAATTTTAATCTTTACAATTAATCAATAACTAAAATTAATAATTATTGATGCTAAAATTATCATTAAAATTCATTTAAATCTACAGTGACTAAGATATTAGGAGTTGAGTGAGAAAAAATAGAATTAATAGCAACATAATTATTTAAACCCATTCTTCATCGGTTCACACAGATTTTTACCAGTTCATCCTGGTTTGACCAGTTCAACTCCTAACTGGTTTAATGCTTAGACCAAATCAGATCACCGGAAGATTCATTGATTTTGTGATTGGACCAGCCGATTTGGTCTATTTTTTTACTTTGCTTTTTAGTATAGAAAAGTTGAAAAATAACAAAAGAATTGAAAATCTATTCGTTGTTGTTCACTTGTTAATTGGAGTGATTTTTTTTGGATGAATCTCAAAAATATACCTTTAAATTTTAAAATTTCAAATCAGTTTTATTTATTAAACTTTAATAATAATTGATAATATTTAAAAATAAAAGACAGCATATTTTTATAGTCTTTTCTTGTTTGAAATTTTAAACTTTTGGAAGCATTTTTTTTTAAATTTTTTTCTTTTTTATTCTTTAGTAAAAATCAATATTCCTTTGACACCATCTAATATTCCTACGGTCAAAAGATCAACTCTTTTCCTATAATTTCATTCTTTAACGTAAGTATCCAACCCTAGTCTGTTAACTGTGCTTCCAGGCTTTAGCAACCTCTTCTTTTCGCAATGCAGTCTTTGCGCTCTTATTTTATTTTAGAGAGTTAAAAATATAAAATGCTTTTACATAAAATATTTTTATATAAATCAAGATAAAACTTCTTTTATATACTTACTTTATATACTTTAAAGTTATTAAAATTTTAGTTTGAAATCAAGTTATGATTTTAAGAGTTTAAATTTTTTAAACAATAAAACAAAATGTCTTGGGCTTTGTAAAAGGTGGAAAGTGGTACCGTAATTTAAAAATTTGTTTGGTCTCCTTTCCTTTTTTTTTTTTTTTTAAAAAAAACAGAGTCTTCCTTGCTTTATCAGGTATTCAGGGGCTACCTCACTATCACAGTTCGAAAGCTTACCTTGTGTCTCCGTCGCAAGTACCCTCCCTGCATTTTTCCCCTCTACCCCGAGGCTCTCTGCTTTCTCATGTCGTGATCCCCCTTGTGCCTCCCGTCCTTACCTCGCCACACCTCAGATTCAAAATTCAAAATCTTTCCCTCCAAAAAGAGAAAGTGATATAAATTAGTACCATGATGTGGCGGTGGGGAATAGGGATGCCGACTATGGCAGCTACGGAGAGGGAAGAGCGAGGAGCTTTACGGTTCTTCTTTTGATAGGAGTGAACTCATCTTCTCTACAATGCTGAAGAGATTTGTAATCTTCCCCCATTCTTTCCTTCGTTTCTGTTCTCTCTACCCTCTGTTTTCATTTTTGTAATGGCATCTTAAAAAAAAAAAATGTTCCAGCTGTTTCCTTTTTGTCCCCATTTTTCATTAGATTGGAGATGCCTCGGCTGAAATTGGAGAAGCAAAGGAAGGCTAAGCAAGATTATGAGAATTAAAGGGATGCCATTGAAGCTGTTCAAAACCGTATTGATGCAGCTAAAGCATAACCAAAGGTACCCCTTTCTTTCTCAACTCATCCTTCTCGACTACCCTAAATTGTTATTTTCCAATCGTTGATTTCACCTTTGTTTATTGTTCTTCAAATTGACTTTTGCGTTTGATCAAGTAAGGAAGAAATATCGGAGAAAGGAATGGCAGAAAGGTTAATCTTTTGATAATAGTAGGAGGACAACTACCGTCTTCAGTTCAAATCCTGGTGGAATCTTCATTCAAAGTTGCGATTTTCGTTCTGCTGCACTTTCTCAAACTCACATCTTTGCAGCTATAGCAGAGCCCTTCACTCCTCGATGTATTATTTTGAATGAAGACCAAGCTCATGTCTCTTATTTGAACAGGTATAATTGTTTTCTCATTACACCGTTAAAAAACATCTATTTGCATCTCTGTAATCGTAAAACGCTTACGTGAAGCGGCCCATGTAATGTATGAGCATCCACTTGGTTGATTTTTATCTCAGATGTAGAGATAATTTAATCTGCTATAGGGCATACCTATAGCTCCTTTATTGGGTTTTCACAAGAGCCCGTTTTTTGTTTTTTGATACATTTCAGAACAGCCATTTTGTTGAAGTGCTTAGTGCTATAGACTTCAACCTAATATTGAAAGAGGTTGAGGGGATCAAAACTTTTATGCGACACTGTTGTGCTAACTTCTTGGAGTTGTCATAATCTGCATGATACATGATAATTTATTAAATTGCATGTTTAAGGTACTTGCAATAGCCACATACATGTTTGTGTGTGTGTGTTTCTAGATTGAAGCAGCATCATTGTCCCCGCCATATTTTGAAGTTTAAAAGGTTTTTATTTTTGGCTCTAACAGATGATGATACGTGGTCTCCAAAATTTCAAGTTGATCATTAATTTCATGCATTTTTTATTCTTAGAATGAGGCATCATGAGAAATAGTAAAAACATTGATATAAGATTTGTTTGAATGTTGCAGCAAATTTCCACAGCATTGATGGATCTATATGTGTGCATGTTTCTTGATGCCATCAACATTGTGGGGTCATATTTGAGTTTTGTGCTTTTATTCAAGATGGGTCATATGAGCCTTTTGTATCATTCAGCTTTATGATTTCAATTGAAATTAACAAATCAATTCTAGCATATATGTCATGTTCATGAATAATGAACGCTGCATCAGATCAGAGAGATGACCCTGAGGTATTACGTTCCTGATGCAAGCCATCTACCAAAAAAGTGTCCTTTAAGCATTAGCTGAACGAAGAAGAGATGTTCAAGGTTTGATAGGAAGCAGTAAATATCACAAGTGGACACATAGGTTCAACATGTCGAGTGAAAAGAATTCAATGGAACAGTAAAAGAAATCAATTCAATGGAAAGCCTTGAAGTTGAAATTTTTGTCACTATATCAGAGCTTATTGCAACTTCTCAAAACCTGTCAACTGTTCTGCCTTTATCCACCTTTGCTATTCAATTCTTTGCTTGACAAGCTCTTATTGGAATTTGACTTTTCCAGCTAAACATGGCTACTAGAGTGTAGGCTTGGTTCCCTTTACTCCCTTATTTTGAAAACGTCAAGTTGTCACTAAAGGGACAGCACATGAGAATCAAATTAGAATGCCACTTCATTGTCTTATTGTTTTGCTTTGTTGTTTCAAATTTCCTGAAGCTCAATCCCGTTGATTTTGTCTTTTTGATTAAAAATGATGGATAAAGATATGAAATTGGAATTGAGGGAAGTATGAATTAATGCACCTTCGAAAAATTGGGTTGTCCTTGTTTAAGATGATCTGGTTGTTAATCATTCACTAAGTTAAAAGCATAACTTTAACCAACTGATTAAATCTAGCATCCTTGGTCAATGTTTTTCCTAGTATTCTAATTAACAATCATCAATTAATACTATTAAAGATGAGAGAATTACCATGAGGTCTTAAGAAAAAAATTTAATTATCAAAATGTCTTAACAACAAGTGACTAGCTTGAATTTATTGTCATTTCTTATTTTTGAACTTGTCATTGTATACTCTTTACTTGTCAATAAATTTTAGTTTATTAAATCCCTTTCTTGGGACCTAACTGTAATTCTCTCATTGAAGACCATTTAGTGTGTAATGAGGCTCAGATCAATACAATTTGATCTTTTATGCAGTAGACATTTAACTTGAGATATTGAACAAGCTCAGTATAGATAAAATTCATTCAAACTCTGAAAGAACAATACAACCGTAATGAACTTAAATAGGATATATATATATATATTTATATAAATCAGTCTCAAACTACACATTCCAATTTAAATCATAAAAGATCAATCCCAAACTAAGAAATACAACTGGTAATCTTAGTAAATTAACTCTATAACATCGGTCCTAATTCAGGAATTCAATTGCAGAGCTTAAAGAAAGGATTAAACTAAATAACTCCTCTAAATGTAGCTCTGGAACTCAAACCCATTCATCCATCTCCACTAGGCAATCAAGTCAGCCACGCATAGCTTCAGAGTTAACTCAAACGAACTGCAGCAGCCAAGCGGCCATGGAAGCTTATGGGAATTGACGAAAATGGAAGGAGAGGTGAGGTAAATGTCGAAAATAGATGAAGAATAGAGTGGGTGTGTGATAGAAGTGGTGAAACGATGAAGGCAGTAGTGAACAGAGACAAAGGCCAACGGTGATAATGGAAAGAGAGGAATCAACGATGATGGCTGGTGGAATGCTGACGGGGGTGATGAAAAGGGGACGAAATGATGAAGGGTGTTGTTTAGTGGAAGTGAGGATGGAATGGCGTCGGTGAGGGTTGGAGGGAATTAATATGGAGGCCGTGGATTCTTGAAGATGATGGTGAATCAATATATCAAATTAAGGAGAGAACCCCTGAGGAGAGGAAGTCTGGTGCTAAACCTTATGGATCTCCATCACCTTTTCTCAATTTTTTGGGGGGTCCTTTTGCTCTCCTTTTGCTTGGTTCTTCAGCAGAATTTTCTTGGACCTTTTACTTTCTGTTTTACTGTAATTTCACCCAAGTTTTTTGCAATCAAAATTTATTAAATGTAATACCAATATTCCACCAATCAGTTATTTAAAGATAAACACAAAAAGATCAAGTTTTTACCCTGTTAGCATTATTTTTATGAAATCACATTTAATTCAAATGAATCACAATAATGCATTTTGAGCCCAATAAACATGATAAAATCCCCAAATAAGATGTAAGATGCTATAATAAAATAAGGGCTTATCATGGTTCACGTGTTCTAAGTATATAAGTTCCATTCTCCTAACTAATCTTCATACTCGCATTTGTACTCACAATTGGTTGCACGGATTTACGTATAGAGGTAATTTATTAATTTATATACTACCTCTAATTCTTAACATAAAAAATAAATAATTAATTTGTGAATATTAAAAAAATTATTTAAGTTAATTATTTGTAATAAATAAGTGTTATTTTTTTTAAATACTCTTGTTATTCATGTGCATTATAATGAAAACCTATTAATATTTATAATTAGCATGGGGATTATTTTGAAAAATAAAAATAAAAATGAGGGACAAAATGGATTGGGTTTTATATTTTGAACCAAATTGAATCTTCAATAACTCCTATATTTAGGCCTACAAGTAGTATACTTTATTAGAGTTATTTATGCTTTTAATTGCACAAACAACAAACATAATAACTGTGCTATTTGTCTATAATTTTGGTATATTATTTGTTGCAGATAATATATGTGATATTGATTATGAAGAAGAAATCATTAATATTTTTAGTGTTATAGAGGAACTTATTAACAGTGAAACACAATCAAATGTCCTTGAAATTGATGATAGTGTTGATGAAGTTCAAAATGATCAGAATGTTGATGTGGCTGAATGTTGACTTTGTGTTTATGTTTATTGTCTTTCACCTAGTGTTTTTGTCTGCTAACTCTTGGATGTTTAGATATATGTGTATGTGATGTTATATTTAACTGTTGGATGTTTAGATATATGTGTATGTGATGTTATATATGTATATATATATCACCTAAAGAAGTTAAGTTCATCATACTCCTTTTAGTCTTTTTTAGAAGAGTCTCATAACTAAATTACACAGGTTAAGAAAACAGTTAAAATTAGTTAAAAGTAATAAATAGATAAAAAATGAATTTTCTTTTCTAAGGACGCCCTTATTTATAAGAGGCAAGTAAGAGAGAGAAAATATGAAAGAGAATGTAGTAAACCTTTTAATTAATGTAATATACTCTTCTACTCTTATTTATAAGCCACTTTTAACATATTTCATACAAACGAAGGAAAAAACTTTAAATTTCATTAACTCTCATGTAAAATTCAACAACTTTTCAACTTTATCCCTATTTAATATACATTATATCTCCTGTAAACAAAGTCAACACGATAATAAATGAAGGGTGAAATTGTACATTTATACAAAAAATGTTTCTTAGTGCCTATAAATAGGATCAAAAAATGTCCTCTCTTTATCCTATAAATAAGACCAAAGGAATATAAAATTAATTAGGGACAAAAATAGTAAAAATACATTAAATGTTCAAATAATCACAAGTAGGACCTTATAAAAATGACCAAGACAATTCAAATTTTAGATTCTTATAAAAAGAATTGGAGAGAGTAGCACATATAGCAAGAGGCTTGACACTAACAAAGACGACAATGGTTAAAATCTTGGGGGAGGAAGTTGTGAAGCCTCTTGTCATGTGAGTTGTGATGAATTTGTATTGAAATTATCACTGAAAGTTTTTGCCCCCCTTGTAATGATGCCTCTTTTTATTATATATAAAATGGATTCTTAACTTCACTAAAAAAAAAAAGGATTCTTAACATTATGATAAATTTTAGTTAAAGCCCTTAGGAATAAAAAATCACTAGTGTGACAATATTTTATCGCTAACATGACAATGATATTTTGTAATGCTATCTTTAATCTTTAATATAAGAACTATATAATTAATTTAAAAATATTAAAAAATAATTAATTTAATTATTTGGAATAAATATATGTTGACTTTCCTCGACTAACATCTCTAATCATATACATTGAAAATAACCCCCAGCAGGAACCTCTTGAATATGTAATATGAATATGAATACTTGGAGGGAAAATTATAAATTTGAGGGACAAAGTCAATTGAAATGTTATATTTAAAACCAAATCTAATAATCAAATAACTTTTATATTAAGAACATGATACAGAAATTAATGAGAACTTTCTTTGAAATTAACCATAACTTAAAGGATTGATTTCTTAATAAAAAGTATAGCAATCTACCAATCTTGACTCAAGTTGATCACAAATCTAACTAGTAAAAACTACTTGATCTTCAAGTGTTCATTATTGTTAACCAATCTTTACACATACATACAGGATGCTCCTATGGTCCTATCTATAATATTAAATTATGAATATATCATTTTGTCTTTCATTTCTTATAGTATAGATAATTATTTTTTTTTAAAAGATGTATATATTAAATAGAAGTAAAGTTTGAAAGTTGTTATATTTTAATAGAGAGTTAATACAGTTTAAAGTTTTTTTTAATTTGTAGAAACATAATAAAAGTGCCTTATAAATATGATCAAAGGAGTACATTATATGAAAATTGGGACAAATACAAAATTTGCAAAATCAACTGTATTAGTTATGCCATCTAATTATGCAACTTGATGCTGTAAATGTCATAAATTGATGTTAATACTACTAGAAAAATGCCTTTTTACACCAACTAATATACGTCAATTATTGCACTAATGGTGTAATAAATGAGGTGTTGGCATTTTTGTAAATAACAATACAATATTTATACAAGTTATTATCACAATCGGTGTTATTATTACCTTTTACATCAAATATTAACCCAACCAGTACAAGGGTACTTAAATGACATTGATAATTGTAAACAATAGGGATTACTAATCGTTACATCAGCCTATCTCTAACCTTTTCATTTACCTCAAAGTAATCTAAACTCGAACAGTCACTAGCCATATCCTATCATCGTCTATTT